CGAACTCCACTCGAAGGTCTTCGAAGCACGTCGGACTGCAGCAATTCGCTTCGAGAAAGAGCACGAGCACTCGATCCAGGATTTCGACTTCAAGCGCGGAGCCCTAGTGCTCATACGCAACACAAAGATCGAGAAGTCCCTCAACCGCAAGATGCGCCCACAATATCTAGGCCCCCTCATCGTTGTCTCGCGCAACAAGGGCGGCGCGTACATCGTGTGCGAACTCGACGGTACAGTCCTCGATCGACCCATTGCAGCATTCCGCGTCATTCCGTACTTCGCACGCAAATCCATTCCAATTCCCGAAGATCTCGAAGATGTTTCGACAGAGCGTCTTCGAGAACTCGAACTATCGAATTCTCTAGGCGACGACGACGATGATGAAGTCGAAGAAGCCGAAGAACGCGACGAATAGAGGTTCTTCCCTTACTTGTACAACACGATACGTACTTTCTTCTCTCCATTCCTGCTCTCACGTTACGCGATATGCTTGATTTTCTCCTACATTCTAGACCATCCCTTGTACGAATATCTTCGATTCAACTCGATAGTCGCGACATCGTTCGACGTTCTACGAACGCTTCGATTCGACCGTTGCGCGGAGGCTCACCTTAGACGAGTCCTCCTAGGCTGTGATGACAAACTGAGCCTATATTTTCATTAAGTCCATTTTCCCTCACTACGAACATTTCGATTTCACCTTCTATGCCCTTCGATCATATTACGACTTACTTCGAACACACTTATTTGCATTTCCTTTTCTTAGTTCCCACTAGGTTTTGTCTAGGCCAAGGGCCACATTTTTGATTCGACTATGGACACAATATTCTACGACATAAGGACAACTACGATACAAGACGACCCGCACCATCGCCTACTCATCGTCTACAGCCCCGCGCACGAAACCGATCCCTCCCTTCGCAAGCGCGGCCTTCTCCATCTTCTGGAGGTCGAGGTCCATGTCGTGAAGGAGCGCTCGACGGCGAGCGATGTGAGCGCGCTCCTCGCGGATGACGCGAATTATTCCCCGAGACTCGTCGTCGAGGTCGAGCACGTCGAGGTCGTCCTGTTCAAGGCCCAGGCGGCTGGCCCCATCGAGAGGCCGTCGTAGAAGTGGGCGCAGAGGCTCGTCGACTCGGCGCTTCTTCGAACCACTCGCGTCCGCGACCGAAGGCCCAGGAGAGGCCGGCCGAACTACGAAGTCGTCAGCGAAGGCCTAGGACAAGAAGAAACGACTTACTGCGCTTCTTTGTGGTTGATCCCCCGCCGCGTGTCTTCTTTGTTTTGCCCAGGACAGACACCTTGTCGAAGTAGCAGCCCTGTTGGAACTGCGCGCACCTATCGCAGGTCGTAGCGTTCTCGGCCCACACGCAATCGACCGGGGCCGAACGGTAACCGGCACAACGATCACACTGTCCAAGAGTTTAGCATCGAACCGCTTCGACGAAGAGTCGAGCTTACCTTCTGTCCCGACTGGCGCTTCTCAATCGCCGCGGCGGCCATGTCGACCTCGGACATCGCGAGTGGACGTTCGACCGTCCGAGGAGTCTTCTACAAAAGAGAGGTTAGTCATCAAACGATGATAGAAGAAAGCACTTACGACCGAGGGGTCGTCCGACAACTCGGTGACCTCGTCATCGACCCTTGCGCGCCCTTTCCCCTTGTCGACACCGGCAGGCGCAGGGTCGGGAAGGAGTCCTTCGGCGGCCGCGATCCTCGCCAACTCTTCGTCGGCGGCCTCTTGTGCGCGACGCTCGTCTTCGGCCTGCTTCCGACGGTCCTCTTCGTCCTTTTGACGCCGTTCGTCTTCGAGGCGGCGCTCCTCGGCGGCCTTCGCACGCTTCGCGGCCTCTTCGACGCGTCGTGCTTCCTCCTCGGCGAGGCGCTTCTGTTCTTCGAGGCGTCGTTCGACCTCGGCATCGATGGCAGTCGCGAGCTCGGGCCAGTCCCCGCGCGCCCACTCAACCCACGACTCCGACGCCCGCTCGGCGAGCTGTTTGACGGCGGCGGCGACGCGCAACTCCGTCTCCTTGTCGCGGATGGCGCCCAGGGCCTTGCGATAGGAAAGCTGTTCGAAAACAAAGGGTTAGCTGGGTTATGCAGGTTAACAAACAACTTACGACGAGTGGCGACAAGTCTTGAGCCCACTCTTCGACCACATCGAGCACGGCGTCGGCAGTCGGCGGAGCCTCGAGGACCACGAGCAAGGAGGCGAGGCGGCGGTTGACGAGAGAGGGAGTCGACGCAGGGGTGGCAGAGCGAGCAGACATCGTAGAAGCAGAGGAAGTGTGCGAGGAGGGGCGACGAGGTAACGAAGAAGGAACGATGGGATGGGGAAAATGAGGCTAAGTCTACCCTGCTTATAACCCCTTTCCGACCAGCGTTTAGCGCCGGCCACGTGGCGTTCGAAACCGACGCGGGTTGTCATGCCGCTTCGATCCGTTCACGACCATCGCGCTTCTCGCATCACGTGGAGGACCAAGGGCGGTCCAAATTTCAATAGGGAGGAGATGATAGGCACCAAGCCCCTCTGGGCCCCGATTCACCTCTTTTCGGCACTCGCATCCCGCCCGGCACTTCGACTGTCACCCAACAGTTCGATTTCACCTTCAACGCTCTTCGACATCTTCGACGGTGCGCGACGCTTGCTCGAAGCTCGGCACGGTCTTCCCGATGCCTCGTGCGTAGCCCTGGGAACATCTTCTGCATTCGGCGAACAATAGGACCACTTGACGCCGCTCGGCCAAGCGCGCGCTTCGCTCCAAGCCACACCGAAGTAGCCAGTCTTTCCCGATTGGGTATCGAACCTCGCGGCATGCCTTCACGACGGCTACCGGTCCGAAGTGGCCATATGTTGCCCTTCATCTCCGCGTTCGGCATGACGTCACTCTACCGATGGACTTGGTATGTGCCTCTTGGTGAGGCAGGTTCTTGAGGAACAATGCAAAGCCCCTTGTACTCGTATGCCACTCTCGAATAGTCGTAGCATCCTGCGTAGTATAAAATCTGTCGTACTTCTCTCCAAAAATACAAGATCCGTTCCCCCCCTCGAGTTCAGAGCTCATAAGTCGAGTTCGCCCCGCGTCTAAACTTTCAACTGCGTCACTTCGTCCCTCGCCGCGTAACTTCGAAACCTCGTCCACTGCGTTTACTCGTCGATACCGTCTCGACGACCCTTCGACTTCGACTATTGTCGAAGAAACTGCGAACCGCGCCCTAGCTAAGTACACCCCATCGAATCGTGTCCCTTCTCTATATGATACATCGAAGAGCTCTGCCGAGCTTCGATCGTCGCTAACTTTCCACAGCTTCCGAGTAGCTTCGACGACGTGTCGAAGCCACCTCGTACCTACCCGTTTGTTCGTAACCTTTCCCAAGGGCGTTTCTCGTGTTCACTCGAACCGCGGGACACCTTGCTGCTAAGTCCCCTCTCATCAGACTATAAGCCGTCTCTTTAGTCCCTTTAGGTCGCACCCAGAATAGGGGTTAGGGTTTCGTTGGTCGTATCACCGCTCCCCCAGCACCACCAGTACACCCCTTCACAAACGCTCGCGACGCAACATACGCCCCGCCGAACGTTCGAAACTTCGCAACTCCGCCAAAGCCCTTGAACGACAAGGGCAAGGAACCAGCGTACAAGACCATCGTCCCCATTATCCAGCCGAAGCTCGCCGAAGAAATCTTCCAGCGTTTGATGAAGTCGCAGTTCGTCACGCTGACCCCAGAAGAGTTGCTGTTGATCACTGATACGACCTACGAAACCCTAACCCCTAACCTGGGTGCGACCTAAAAGGACTCAAGAGACGGATTATAGTCTTAGTGAGAGGGGAGTTAGCAGCAAGGTGTCCCGCGATTCGAGTGAACACGAGAAACGCCTTTGAACAAGGCTACGAACGCTAGGGAAGGTATGAGGTGGCTTCGACACGTCGTTGAAGCTACTCGGAGGCTGTGGATAGTTAGCGGAGACAATCGAAGCTCGGCAGAGCTCTTTGATGTATCGTAGAGAGAAAAGAGACACTATTCGATAGGGTTGGACTTAGCTTAGTACGCGGTTCAAGGTGCAATGCAGTTCTTCGACAATAGTCGAAGTCAAAAGGTTCATCGAGACGGTATCAATGAGTAAATGCAGTAGACGAGATTTCGAGGTTATGCAGTGAGGAATGAAGTGACGCAGTTGAGGACTTAGACGCAGGGTGAACTCGACTTATGAGCTCTGAACTCGAGGGGGGAACCGGATCTTTTCATTTTTGGAGAGAAGTACGACAGAATTTATACTACACAGGATGCTACGACTATCGAAAGTGGCACACTGGTACAAGGGGCTTTGCATTGTTCCTCAAGAAGCTGCCTCACCGAGGGGCACATACCAAGTCCATCGGTAGAGTGACGTCATGCCGAATGCGGAGATGAAGAGCAACATATGGCCACTTTGGACCGGTAGCCGTCGTGAAGGCATGCCGCAAGGTTCAATACCTAATTGGGAAAGACCGGCTACGTCAGTGTGGCTTGGAGCAAAGCGCGCGCTTGGCCGAGCGGCGTCAAGTGGTCCTATTGTTCGCCGAATGCGGAAGATGTTCCGAGGGCTACGCACGAGGCATCGGGAAGACCGTGCCGAGCTTCGAGCAAGCGTCGCGCACCGTCGAAGATGTCGAAGAGCGTTGAAGGTGAAATCGAACTGTTGGGTGACAGTCGAAGTGCCGGGCGGGATGCGAGTGCCGAAAAGAGGTGAATCGGGGCCCAGAGGGGCTTGGTGCCTATCATCTCCTCCCTATTGAAATTTGGACCGCCCTCGGTCCTCCACGTGATGCGAGAAGCTTGATGGTTGTGAACGGATCGAAGCGGCATGACAACCCACATCGGTTTCGAATGCCACGTGGCCGGCGCTAAATGCTGGTCGGAAAGGGGTTATAAGCAGGGTAGACTTAGCCTCATTTTCCCCATCCCATCGTTCCTTCGTCGCTACCTTGTCACCCTCTCCCGCATACTCTCTGCTTTCTACGATGTCTTCTCGCTCCGCCACCCCTGCGTCGACGCCTTCGCTCGTCAACCGCCGCCTCGCCTCCTTGCTCGTGGTTCTTGAGGCTCCGCTGACCGCCAACGCTGCGCTCAATGTGGTCGAAGAGTGGGCGCAAGACTTGTCGCCGCTCGTCGTAAGTCGCTCGTAAATCTGCATAACCCAACTAACCCTTTGTTTTCGAACAGCTTGCCTATCGCAAGGCCTTGGGCACCATCCGCGACGAGGAGATGGAGCTGCGCGTCGCCACCGCCGTCAAACAGCTCGCAGAGCGGGTGTCGGAGTCATGGGTCGAGTGGGCGCGCGGTGACTGGCCCAAGCTCGCGACCGCCATCGATGCCGAGGTCAAACGACGCGTCGAAGAACAGAAGCGCCTCGCCGAGGAGGAAGCAAGACACGTCGAAGAGGCTGCGAAGCGTGCGAAGGCCACCGAGGACCGTCGCCTCGAAGACGAACAGCGTCGAAAGGACAAAGAGGACCGTCGCAGGCAGGCCGAAGACGAGCGTTGCGCACAAGAGGCTGCCAACAAGGAGTTGGCAAGGATCGCAGCCGCCGAGGGACTCCTTGCTGACCCCGCGCCTGCCGGTGTTGACAAGGGGAAAGGGCGCACGAGGGTCGATGACGAGGTCACTGAGTTGTCAGATGACCCTTCGGTCGTAAGTCTTCCTTTCTCTGTCGTCATTCAATTACTAATCTCCCTTTCGTAGAAGACTCCTCGGACGGTCGAACACCCGTTCGTAATGATGGAGGTTGATATGGCCACCATTGCGCTTGAGAAGCGCCTGTCGTGACAGAAGGTAAGCTCGACTCTTCGTGGAAGTGGTTCGATGCTAAACTCTTCGATAGTGTGATCGCTGCGCCGGCTACCGCGCGGCCCCAGTCGAGTGCATGTGGGTCGAGAATGTCACAACCTGCGAGAGGTGTGCGCAGTTCCAGCAGGGATGCTACTTTGACAAGGTTTCTGTGCTTGGGAAGACAAAGAAAACGCGCGGCGGGGGATCAACCACAAAAAAGCGCAGTAAGTTGTTTCTTCTTCTTGTCCTAGGCTTTCGCTGATGACTTAGTAGTTTGGCCGACCTCTCCTGGGCCTTTGGTCATGGACTCGAGTGGTTCGAAGAAGCGCCGAGTCGACGAGCCTCCGCGCCCCCTGCTTCGACTGCCTCTCGATGGGGCCAGCCGCCTTGGCCTCGAACAGGACAACCTCGACGCGCTCGACCTCGACAACAAATCTCGGGGGATAATTCGCGTCATCCGCGAGGAGCGTGCCTTCATCGCTCGCCGTCGAGCGCTCCTCCACAACATGGACCTCGACCTCCAAAAGATGGAGAAGGCCGCGCTTGCGAAGGGAGGGATTGTCACGACTTGGTACGGCGTCTAGCCGTTTTTTAATTTTTCCTTTTCACGGGCTCGAACCCGCAACCTCTGTACTACCTGCCTGATATGGACACGTCGTTATCTACTGTACGATAAGATTAGATAGGATGGCAGGGCACAGCATAGCTCGGGCTCCGCTGTCACAGCCGCTCTGACTCACTGGCCCCCGGGGCCGCGTCGGCATGCTGTGCACGGACCAGCTGTGCACGGACCAGTGCGCACAGCCTGCCCTTAACCTCCCCTGTATATAAGCCGGCCTCTGCTGCCCTAGGGACCTCAGTTTCGACCTCTTGTCCCTAGGTCAGTAAGCCCCCAGTTGTATTCCTTTCTTACCTTACTAACTAATGCATTTACTTGTCCCTAGCCTTAGGTTTGAGCCTAGCTCACCATCGCTTCGGTAAGATAAGTCAAACGCCCCCAGCATTTGGTTTTCCCCTGTTGCTCGACCCTAAGTCGCGACATTAGGTCGAAACTCCCCAACACTGCTGGCGTTCCAAAACAAAAACACTCATCTTTCCTCTCCTATAGGCTGGGTGGTGCGCACCCCTACTATACCCTACGATACTTAGATAGCCTACGATACATCGCCACCACTTAAGGGACGAACTCTTC